ACGTTTTGGACCTGAATCTGGGACAGGTGGGCCAACAGGACCCCAGTGGTCTGTACATCCTCCTATGRCAAGGTCAAACTCAAATGCAGTTGTATCCCTCAGCCCCTCCAAAGCTGTCTAATCCAGAGAACAGCAGAGGGTTTTTAATCGCTGTTTTTAACTTCCCTTCTGCTCCTTCTAAAGAATTTCTGGCAACATTACCACCAGCATTTAATAACCAGAAATCCTTCACTGCCTCTCCCACACGTAGGTGAACGAAAAATCTGGAAATGCATGCAGAAAGGAGAGATATCTCTAGATCATGTAACAGATCCACTCTGCTTTTTAGGTGAGACCACTGAAGCCCAGTAACAAARTAATGCACCGAGGGTCACACAGCTTGTGCGCAGCAGAGCCAGGGTAAGGCACAGGGTCTTCCCACTCTAAGTACAATGCTCATCCAACTCTCATCAATTCCAGAGCCTGGACTCTTTCCTGGTGCTGAAATGTTTGTACCACAGATCCCACAGCCCCAGCACATGCACAGCTCCCATCAGTCAGCAAATTTAATGGCAGCCATCTTCCACCAGGCACTGATTCTGTGAGGTACTCAATTCTGCAAGGTGTCTGGACGGTTTCCATTTGTTCTCACAACACCGTAAACGTAGCCTATGTTATTTTACTGATGATGAGTCTGAAACCTAGAGAGGTTAAGTAGCTTGCCTTAGGGCTCATGGCACATGACTGGTAACCTCTTAGYCCTTTATTCCACTGCCTCTTTCCTTCCTCAGCTCTGGGTTAGATTCGGGGGAGCATGCAAAGATCAGAAGCAAAGTCCCTACCCTTTTTGGCAACCTTATGTAARGATGGGAGTGAGCTAATATTTATTGAGTATTCAAGACATGACAGAGGTCTGGTTGGATATCTTGTGGACCATTGTGATATCTAAAGCTCAGAGTGCCTCCTASGCACTCTGGATCTAGTTTCTAGGATCAAATGGTCTATGATCTATGTGCCTGAGCACAGAACAAGAGGACAGATGTGCCACTAATGCACACAAAAATCAGATGGTGCTGGATCTGAGGGGGGTGCAGTGGGGCAGCCAGTAAAAGGCCTGGGAGAAATACTGGCATATCTGACAGGCCACTGTCAGTCCTTCTCTGCAGGCCTTCAGCTCTCTGCTATAGTCACACAGCAGTATGGGATAGGAGGAAGCATAAGGGCTTTGTAGAGACACAAATGTGCACTGAAGCCCAGTTCCATGTCTCCTGGCTATACAACCATGGATAAGTTAGACAACTCTTCTGCTATACTCTGGATCTTGAATGTCCCCAAACAAGATTGAAGGAGCTGGGTCAGTCAGAGAACCCCATMCTATTGGAAACAGCAACTTGCTTGAGCAGGTGTCTAAGCTAGTTATCAGAGCCTACCCTCAGGTCTTTTCCACTGGATGATAAAAAAGGCACTCTTCTTTGGGCTTGCAAAATTAGCATGTGSTGAGTCCACTTTGTCTTGCATCACAACCTTTGTTCCAAGGAACCTCTGTTCCATAACCTCTGTTCTAAACCCTTGGATTCAGTTGTTCCAGAGGCCATAATTACCCCTGGACCTCTCAGTTACATGCAGYAATAGACTTTCTCTCCAGGTAACCTTATTTTAATCATATTTCTGGCACTTGCTGGTTAGTAGTGTTATTATCATACACAGGTTCACAATAAATACCACTTCTCTTTCCCATCACTACTCCAAACGTGTCTTCTTGCACCACCATCACCTTTCCAAAAGGCATTCTTTGGATAAACACTGAACATTAAGCAGCTTTTGTCTGCAAGTCTAAGAAWAAAAGAAAAGTAGTGTTCGTAATGGCTGCTTGTGCCACACAGCACTCTATGGGAAGACSCAGCTGCACAGAAGCAATGTGGAGGTTTCCTGGGAAATGCTTGCCCTGTCTGCTGAGACACAGTGCTCTTTTAAAACAGAGCCAGTGGCATATGTACACACACTCATGATTGCACATTTATTGATTTCTAATTTGTACCCTGCTTACTTCCAAAAAGGCCCTGGAGTGACTGACAAAATAAGACAAAGACATAATGGGGCCATTAAGAAAAATCAAAGATCAAGCCCAAAGAGAAAAAGCAATTGCTGATTATAGCTCAAACCTGGGTTAATATAGTTGCTTCAATAAAAAAAAAAATTATATTTAGCTCTTGGCTTTTTGGCAGCCATTCAGAATGTGTCATAACAGGGCACATGGAGAGCTAGACAGCCTTCACGTACACAGCTCTGTACCCAGCACAGAAGCTGGGCTGTACAGCACCCAGAGAATGGGTGAACACAGAAATGAATGAGTGAATGACTGAACGAATGGTGGGTAAAAGAATCAAAGCTCCCTGAGACACATTTCCTTGGTCCTGTGTCACTCATATATTCACCTGCCATCCAGCTGTCATTGACTGAGTGCCTTATGTGCATCAGTCTCTGTGCCAGTCCAGGGACCCAGAGAGGGACCTTTATGAAAATGTGTTAAATGTCCTTCCTCTCTTCCCAGCTGCAGCTCTCTGGCTGGAAACAAAAAGTTCAGAGTAATTTATCTCAATGATCATTGCAACTCCTAGTTTCCTTCCAAAGAGAGGAGACCAGAAACAGGCTGCAAAGACAGGAACTGAGGAGTAACAGCAGTTATCTTGGCCCCTCCACTTCATAACACATTAAGCCCTAGAAAACACACAGGCACCACCATATCCCTGGATACTTACAGCTCCTCTGCAAGGTACAGAGAAAGGAGGGGCATCCCTCTTTTACTAACAAGGAGATTTAAGCACAGAAGGGAAAGTGACTCTCCTAAGGTCTCTCAATTAGAAAGTGTCGATTCAGGTACAGCCCATGGGTTCCTATACTTGGCCTCAGCACCCCAGAGACCTGTTATCACCATGTCCTCTGTCTGAACCAAGACCAGCCCTGCCAAAACTGGGTTTCACCTGACAGCCACAGGGAGGCTTGCTCTCAGGTAGCAGCTGAAGTGCTCAGCCCCTGCCACCCCCCAGCCATCCAGCAGCTCCGGCTCCCCRGGCACTTTTCCTCTTTCTAGAACCTAATGTTGAGATTCCAGGTGAATAGGAGATTGTCTATGGCACTTGGTAAGTGCTGGTTGCAAAGGCCACCAGAATTTTACTCATCAATAACAGAGAATGAAATCATGGCATTTGCAGAGAAAGAGAGAGAGAGAGAGAGAGAGAGAGAGAGAGAGAGAGAGAGAGAGAGAGACACCAGGCAGGCAGTGCTGGGTGGAGAGATGGCTGTTTTGTGAGCATTTAAGGGGAGAGCTGTATCGTGGGTCCTCTGTGGATTTAGCCAACTGTGAATTGGAAATATTTTTTAAAAAGTATATATCTGTTCTGAACATGGACAGATGTTTTTTTCACCATTATCCTTAAGTAACACAGTACAACACATACTTACATAGAATTGCATTATAGTAGGTAGTGTAAGCCAGTTAGAGTTGATTGAAAGAAGAATGTGCATAGGTTATATGCAAATATGACATCATTTCATATAAGAAACTTAAACATCTGGGAATTCTGGTATCCATGGGAGTCTTGGAATCAGTCCCCTGTGGATACAAACAGATGACCTTACAGGGAAGAGGAAGTTAAACTCAGAATGGTTTCTGGTACATCACTTGGCATGCTTACCCAGCCCTGCTAGACACTCGGGCTGCTGGATTATGCTTRCTCCAGGGGGAAGCACCAGAGGTCTGAAAAGGGGTCAGGGCCTTTCCTATTTTTAGCAAAGTCAGCAAGGTGGACCCTGCCAGAGAAACAGTGTGCACAGCAAGAAGACCTTGACAAAGTACAGGTACACCCTAGAGAAAGCAAGACACTGCTCCACCAGAATACCCACCATCTCTGGCCTGTTTTTGTTCCAACAATTTCCTTTAAAAATACATTTATGCACATAGTCTATGTGCATGTGTCTGTGTATAGGCACATATAAATACATACTTCTAATTCAGAGCTTGTTCTTAAGTGTACACACTAACATGTGTTTCATATTTTCTAGCTTATTCCAGAGCCTTACACGCATTGTTTGACTGAATAAGTAGGCATTAAACACAGCCATCAGGAAGAAGAATGGTGGCCACAACACAAGATCCCTCTACCCCAGCCACGCTGTAACTCTCAGCGCCTGCACTCCCTCATTTTGTCATGAGTGCTAAGTAGCCAGACAGTCATTACTTCTTTCCCAGAGTTGGGCCCTGGGCAGCCCAGTTCACCCCWGGATCTATATTGGTCACTGCCAGCAGCATTTCAGGTTCACAGTCATGGAGTTGTTCAGTGTCAATGAACACCCATGACACACAACTCAGCCTCCACCACACCCTGCATCTCCAGCTCCCAAGCTTTAAACTCTCACAATGAATAAAYACACAGGGCATCTCTGAATCTCCCTGCCCACCCCCACATTGTATTCTGGACCATTCTAAAATGTAAAGCAAAATTCAGGGTGCTTCTTTATTTTCCCATCAAACCATCGACCTCAAGACGCATAGTTCCTAAACTAGAAATGCTAGACAGCAAGCAATGGGCAGGAACTCCTCCAGCCAGCATGTCAGGGAGATGGAAACATTTAGCCTGACCCAGTCTTGCCTGAGACCACCAGCAGCCTCATGTGAATCAACTCACCCAAGCCCCCCCCCTCAGAATTCCCCTGAAGTAAGTTCAGACCCATGTAAAATGGAAGTTTCCTCCCTCCCTCCTTGCAATGGGAGGGTCAACTACCACACGTCACGAGACCTCACCAGCCACATAAGCCACTGAGCTCTGAAAGCAAGAGCAAGAAACCAGACTTGGAGATGCAGGGGTGGAGGTTCCCCATTCCAAGCCCTGCTCTAGTCTCCACACCAGGGCTGAATCAGCAGATCCACATTGCAGAGGGTGCCACACATGAAGGCACCACAACCTGCACATCACTAACACCAGGGAAGGCGCACATGGAGAACGTAAGTCAAGGCTACTCACAGTCTGGTGAGCTTCGGTGTGCTCTGGAAAAGCAATTCTGGAAGGACCTGAAGCTTATTCTTGTTGAGACGCCTACAGGGGAAAAGAAGAATGAAAAGATGTCAAGGGCATATTAAATCGGATCAAGAGTATTTGCAGATACTGCTTCAATCAATCCATCCATCCATCAACAGGTATTAAGGGACTCTCTAGATTTTTCAATATGGGATGTTCAACATGTGTAAGGCATATACTATGTTGACCAGGCTTTATAGTCCACAAAGATGCAAGGCCAAGGTCAGTTGTAAGCATAAACCCAGCACGCGTGCTGCACTCCCTCATTTGTCATGAGTCTGGGACAGACATCATTAATTGATCACAGCATTCTTTCCCAGGGACTTTGGGGATTTTTCTCCCCATGAGCTCTGAGTAGTTATTGCCAAGTGATAGAACCGACATGTAAAATGGACTCCAGAAACAAATTAAATACCAGAGAAAGCATCCCAGATTCTAAATGGGTGGCAGTTGCTATAGGAACATAGGAGAGGTCAAGGCAGATAGCTCTGGGTTGAGGGACCAAGTGGAATTCCTGCCAGGCTGGCTCTCTGGACCAGAGCAAGGCAGCATAATGACTCTCCTGGGTCTTGGCCCTTCTGCCTTTGCAGGCCACTTGCTTCATAAGAACTTTTTACATATTATATTTTACAACTGTAAAAAACAATTTTTTTATGTTATGTAACTATTTCAATCTAAGAACTCACTTCTATTCAAATTAAAAAAAAAATAAAACATTTTCATGGACCTTTCCAGCACTGGATAGTCCATGCTAATCCTCTCTGGAACAGGTGGAGGTCATGAGCCATGGAGAAGGCATGACATTTTGACTTTGGGATTAGCCAGGGCCTGGTTTTATCATGTTCTCACTGTAGAACTGGGTCAAGTTACTTAGCCTTTGAAGTCTCAGTTCTCTGTTTTTAATGACCCTATGCATTGCCATGAGATGGCAAAAATCATCAAAGTAGTGATGACCTAGTCATACTCATCACAGTAGTGATGACCGTGTGTCACAGGCTGTGCTACATGCTGCGTTAGCCGGTCCCAACTGCAGCAATGCTTAAGCAGGCCTTGTTCATATCTCCAACTCCTATATAAGAATTCAGAACCTGGAGGGGCCCAGGACACCCAGAGGCCACAGGGGCAGAGCTTGGGCATAGTCAGCCTGACTCCAAAGTCCTGGTTCTGAACCACCATGGTACTCAAATCCCTCAATAAATGACAGCTTCCTGCTTCTTTCCCTTTCTTCATTTTTCTCCACTTTTCATCCSGGTTGCCACCTCCTCCACCCCAACTCAGACAATGATCCACTCTGGGTACAATGCCCTCCCTGGAAAGGACTTTCTTGGAGGTCCCCAAGGCAAAAAATGGGTCTCTATATGGGTCTGTCTGGAACCACCCTCTATTGTCACAGATGTACAAAGCTTGGTAAGAGTTCCATTTAGACATCCAAGACTCCAGTCTAGGCAAAAATCCTAAACTCTGGTGGCCGCTGCCTGAAGTGGGTAGGGTGTTTAGTGTGTTCAAAGCCCTAAACCAGAATTGGAACTAAAAATAAAACCAGCTTGGCTCTGAGGCTCCCGGAAGGGAAGGAATCATTTTCATTTCTTTGCCGGTATTTGTGGCTGGACAAAAATAAAAATGCAACCAAATTTAGCCAATGGAGTTCTGCCTGCTGCTTCCTGAGCCCTGAATGGGGATCCTGGGGCAGCCAGGCTGGGCTTGGGTCCCATGCCAGGGGCCTTTCCACTTCAGCTTGGGCAAGTCACACGCTGGCTCTTCCTAGCRGGAGCTTGATTCTGTATTTTCAGGTTATTCCAGAACTTACTCGTGTTCACTAGAGAATAGGCTGGCCTGAAAAGTCTTCCTTGAAGAGCCAACAAAGGCTCCAAGGTACATAAGGGGCACTTTCCATGTGCTGCTCAGGAATTATTGTCCTGAGCAGAAAAACRAGTGGGATGAAATGTGCTGCTCTGAGAAAGGATTAGGTAAGCGCTGGGCTGCAGACGGTGGCTACTGGCCACAGTGTACCTGTGCCATCTGCTGATGTTACCCTGGTCTAGGCTAGGAGTCTCCAGCCCCAACTGGAAGTGAATCTGTGATTCCCAGAGGCTGAKCAGGAGTGAACAGAACCTCTACAAGGACAGAACTATGGTCAGCAAACAGCACATGGGTCAGGTCCACRACAGGAGAAAACCCACGCAGGTGTCCCCTCTCCCTCTAAGATCAAGAGTACTTCACAGCTTTCCTACTGGAACAATGGGGAGCATCCAGATCAAAGCTCCACTGGCTGCTGAGCTACAAAGTCACATTGCTTTTCAACCTGAACCATGAGCCTCAGCTTTGACTTTGTGGAACCACTGAATTTACCTGGGTATGGAAAGCACATCTAGACATTTTTGCCACTTTGTTAATTCGTCCATTTAGCCAACCATCAACTACCCATCCATCCCTCCATCTATTCATTCAAATACCATCCATCAGTTCTCCCTCCCTCCCTCCCTCCCTCCCTCCCTCCCTTCCTTCCTTCCATCTTTCCAGTTCTACAAGGATGAGTAAGATGTAATCCCTTCCTTTCAGAACATCCCATGCTAGTGGAGGAGACAGATGTGAAAATAAAAGTCAAACCATGCTGTTATAAGCAAAGTTGTTGTAAGAAAATAGAGAAGGAAAAGCTGGCCCAGTCCTGTTTACAGGAAGATGAATGTGACTCTCCAAGAAAGATGAACAGAAAGTTGTGGACTTGAGTATGTGCATTTCTATGGAGAGCCAGGAGACTGAGCAGCATTTGGGGAGCAGGCTTACGTAGCTGGATCATGGGGGAGACTTGAGAACATGAGCAATGGAGTTGTATAAGTAGGCAGAGGTTGTATCATGAGGGGCCTTGTGGATTGTGGTAAGGGATTTGGGCCTGGATTTTTATGGAGAGTAATAAGGAGCCATAGAAAGGGCTTGAGCAAGGGAGGGACCATCTGGTTTGGATTTTAAAAAGCTCTTTCCAGTAACAGTAAACTTGGTTTGGAAAAGGGTGAAAGCAGAAGCAAGGAGATCAGTTAAGAGGGCTCTTGAGTATCCAACACGGTTCTGTAAGACCTGGTTAAAGCTGACTCTGGTGATGGATGTGGGAGACAGCTGTGAGGTCTGATGAGCAGGGTCTGTGACTGAATGCATGTGTTGGTTGAAGGAATAGCAGGAACAGAGGTATTTAAAAGTGGCTTCCCAGGAGCCAACTTGGGAAGTTGATCAGTCAAAATAACCAATCACCTAGGAAAGGAACAGAGAAATGAGGAATACCAAGCAGAAGGTGAGTGTTTAGATTCAGAATTTCTGAACCACTGAGATCTTTCAAATATGTTTTGACAAATAATACCTAGTAATAACACTATGACCATGAGTCAAAGACTGAAGAAAGCATTTTGCATGTACTATCTCACTGAATCCCCATAGAAATGCCCAGAGGCCAGTCCAATTATTAACCTCACATAAGGATACCAAGGTCTGAGAAAAATAAGGCACTTGCCCCAAATCAAGTCCACCAAAAAACAATGGTGATGGGATTTGAAGCCATATGCCTAATGCTAAACCTGTGTTCTTAACTGCTGTATAAAATGATGATATTTAATTCTCCCCTCATTATAAGCTGTCTTGATTTATCACCTAATGTGCAGTTCTCATCTTCCTTTTAAGTTCCAAGGGTCCTTCAGAATAGGAACTAAATCTTGCACATCCTTTATTTCCCAATGGCAGCCAACAYAGTGCCAGGTTCACAGGAACCTTCAGGAAGTGTTCATGTCCAAGTTCATGAATAAATCAGAAGGCAAGAGTGGCCAACTTAGGGAGCCTAAGGGGTCAACTGTCCCCTGGGCTAGATGAAGGAAGCCACTCTCTGTGGAGCAGGACAGGACTCCCAGAGACTCAGCTTCCAGATTCATCTGCCTCAAGACCAGCCAAGTTAGAAGGTGGGCTCACTGCTCCCCTTGGGTAGGGAAAGGACAGGGCAAGGGGTTGCAGGGCCAGACTGAACATGGCAAGTACCTCCCTTTTCTCAGGGAGGTGTGGAGTGTCCAGTTGAGGGGCCAGGGCCTGAGGGAGGGAGGAGGTCAAAGTGCACTAATCTCCCAAGGTCACCARTGCGGCTCGCTTTGGTACCAAACCCAGTTACTTCCCTCGGCAAGGCCCACTTACTGGTATTTTCAGAAACACCCACATGTCTATACAGCAAGGSACAAAGAGGCTTTGTTGCTCAGAGCAGAAGCTTCAAATCACCTGCAATAGAGAGATAATGGAGAGAGGCTTCTGGCCCAGAAGCCACAGGGATGACAGCAAACTGCAGGGCAAGGGTAGAATTGAACTACAGAGGTCTTAAACTTCAACTCAGAGTTGGCACCATCAACCCAAGGACCCACAGATGTCACTATAAATCAAAGGCAAAAAACTTGAACTTCAGGGAGCCCTGATTTGGGCTGTGTCCATTAGCTGTTTGCCAATGGCCTTACACTTGCTCTCTGTTTCYTCACCTGTCAAATAAAACAAATTCAGGTTTTTAAAATTTTTTTGGCTATGCAAATTTTCATAACATAAACTGAATATGACCTAATCAATCCAGTAAGTAACCCAATCTGTGATGGTTGCTGGATGACACCTCTCATGATCAGGGACAACTCCCACACTTGTTGTGGTGGGAAAGCCTGCCCGACAGGCYGACAAGCCTGGCCACATTGGTCGAGTGACTGCTGTTCTCTGCCTGTAGCTTCCTTATCCTGGTAGAGGAAGGGGTAACACAGAACAGCTTCACTGATATATAATGGTGCTTCCTTTTAACATTAATTACRGACAAATCCCAAGTTTATTTCCGTGGTTCAGAAGCAGGTTGACTGAGTTTGGCTTCTGCAGTATTCAGCATGTGCTCAATGACATCTAGGTTGGTTTATCCTTTTTGAAAACGGATTATTTTTAGTTTGTAACTTCCAAGTGTCCCAATAGCAATTAAAAACTTTCATTTTTGATATTTCCAAGGGACAACTAACTTTGTTTGTCAT